CAAACTGGTCGCTGATGTCAACAAAAAGATACGCAAAAGCGACTTACAGGGCTCCATTTCATACTGCTGTTGGTGGTGCAGTTGGGCATGACATCGAGTACAACTCCACCGCGGGAACTCATGCGCGTAACTTGGTTTTGGGTTAATTTTTTGAACGGAGTACCTTCACGACAGAAACCCCCCGCTTATCACTTTTAGGCTGTGAATGATAGAAGCAGATGCGAATCTAACTGTGTTCCTGTGCATAAATACGAAAGTTAGGCTTACCACCTTATATCCACCCATTTTGCATCCTACACATGGTCCCTTCCCCACGCCCCACACATGTTCAGCGTCCGAATGTTCATATTTTCCAACAGAAAGCATCTGAACAGTCCGAGGCTCTCTTCGATGACTATCCCACAATTTTGCAGACACTGGGGACGGTATAGAATACACTCCAGTTCTAGTGGCAGAAGATACTATTGAGATATTATTGATAAAGGTATTGCATAGTGTGCACTGATGCCTTTCACCCACGTATACTTGAAGGGGCGAGCGGCGCTACATACCACCTGCACTATCTCCTCTGTAACCTGTTGTACTGCTAATAATCGGATTCTCGTGTGGGTCCTGTGAAGTCTGATTCATCCCTGCTACGAGCTAGAGTAGTCCGGTGGGAGGCGGAAGACGGTTGTCTTCGACGTATTATATGATACAGCTGGTAACTTGGCTTCTGATATGTGGCCCACGGGTCATCAGAACCGCGCACAACCTGCCCAGTTCAGATGATCTTCAATTCCTTGGGAAACGCGGGATGATGTATGAGTGTGAAGTGGAGGATGAGAGACTTAGCTGGATCAAGCTAGAGCGGACCAGAGATTTGGCGTCCACGCAGGAGGGTTAGTGGCGTCACTAAGAGGTTAAGCAAAAGAAGCTCCGAAACTGAGCACATTCATTCTTTAGATTTCGGGCACAGCTCCGGCGACCCCTGCTTTTCTGATATGCTGTTTTATTGAATCGGTTCGCTTTCCAGTGAGCATCCCCGGGGAGCGAAATTCGACGAGCGTTGCAATGACAAAATAGTGGATGAATGTGTCAGATGAAACGAAGAAGTTCGTTGGTCTTTCGGAAGATCAATGCTTTCTCGGCTCATTCTACCCTCAAGCAGCGCCCTATGTGTCATGTTTCCATCATGTTTCGTGACAACATCGCTATGAACAGATCCCGATAGGAATATTTATAGTTTACAACACGTGGTATGTTCACAAGTAGCGATCGGCACACAAACGGAAAAAGATTTTGTATGAATATTGAAAATATCACAGTCGCAGAGGAGCAAAAAAAAGAACAAGGCAGCATACACTACGTATGGTTTTACTGACCACCAAAAAGTATAAGGAGCACAAAGTGAATGCTAGAGTCTTGCAGATCTTTCTAGCCAGAATAGAACTGTTAGGAGCAAAATGGGAGCCTTACGTATCACATTATCGTCAAGCAGAACCCTCTCGTTTCGCCCTGTTGGAAGCCTGGTTAGGAAGTCATACAATGCGCAATTTACGGAGTAAAATTTCCCGAATGCTAAGCGTTCAAGGGGCCATACCGCGCTGATCATTTGGGAGGGATCACTTTTCGTTTCTCAATCGTGCTCTTCTTCTTTTTTCCCTGGAGGATGAGAGCCCATCAGTGAGTACGGTGCAGTTGCTGTACCCCGCCCATGAGGTCATTGCGGAATGTGTTTTCAAGTGCAGCCATAACGTCACTCCCCTGACTACTGCAGTTAAACGACATCTCAAATTGTCTCAAAATCAAGTGTGACGGTTAGTTAGGCCGCTCAATGCATGAACTGTATCCATAAGTAACTCCTCGCAGTAGAGAAAAGAAATTGCATAAAAACGCTGCGCAACACTCTGGACAGAATCCCCTAAGGCAGTGGAACCGGCACCATTCGACGGAGTTTGACGGAGATCGCAAGCCCAATCCAACAGATTTCACGCGCAAATTCAATATCCAAAAAGAAGACTTACGAGAATCGCCCTACGATGCTCGGCAACGTGTGAATTACACATGCAATTCCGCTTGTAAGCCTGTTTTTGCAGGAGTTGGAAGTAATCGTGGTTGCAATGGTTGCCAATAACGCCGTGCTCTAGCATTAAATTATCTCCCTTTATTACAGTGTACGAAAGTGGTTTCATCCTGTTGAATGCGACAACCTATGTCAAAGGCACTAAGGCACTTTTCGCTAGGCATTAATGGGGAAGTGTCTTTGAAGCGGTTGCAGCATTATAGCCCGCTGCGCCTTACTGGACAAAATGGTATCATATATTGTTTCTGGATAAAGTCTTGTTACATGAACAATCAGGTATTTGAAAACTTATGTGTTGGATATACGGCCGGCAGTATCATAACTACCAAGGTATACTACGAAACAAGACGACTAGCAAGAAGACCAAGCCTTGTTATCACGAGAAAATAAATTAATAAATATACAATCTACTCGTGTATCTACTCTACACGGCATCACTAAATAGTTGCTGAGTAGGAGATTCGATCTCGAAGATGTCACAGTTCCTCTCATTTACAACGTCTTAGATTTCTTAGACTTTGCAATGTATGCTTTGTAGAAGAATTGGAGGAAAAGGACTGCAAATGTGACGTAAATGATAAATGCCAAGTAGAGGTTCGCCATCGACTGCTGGCATCTGAAAGTTATGTCCAATAAGTGAAATTTGGCATTTCAAGCTCAGTGTGGCCTTGCAAACTTACGGTAGTGTGGATTCGGTTTTGATTCGATAGACGATATACGAGACAGCAACTCCAGCCAACATCTGGACTGTTTGAATAGTTGTGACGCACATTGAAACCTATAACTTGTTGATTTTGAAGGATCAACAGAATGGTGGTCCAGACAACAGGCGCGTCGGCTGATTCGGCTGTGTAGAGCGCGTTCATACTTTCGCGATCGCGCATGCAGTCGAGCAATCTGATTGAACGATCACGAAGTATGAACGCGCTCTTGGCCGTGTTATTGCTCACACTGGCCGGACTGGCAATGGCTAGTAGTTAGGTTATCATCAGATCACGGAGCATGGTAAAGCATCATGTCGTAGAACACTGCAGGATGGGTACGACCATCCAGAAATGGAGGTCCATACTCCCTCATGTGCTGTCGAGGTACATGTACTGTTCCTACTGATGTGTGGGTGGCCACTGGACACCCATTGAACTTTAATCTATCTTTAGAAGCATTTAAAGCGTGTTGTGATGTATCCGTAAGCGATCTTCTGCAAAGAGTGTGGCAGAACTCTTTGTCGCTGGGAATGCCGCACTCAAGCAATCTAGTAGCTTGCATGGCGTTTTGGATAAAAACTGATGTGGGAATTTTGTACGAATGCGAGTTTCTGCGCCTTCAATGGAGGCTTCATCGTTATAGCATAACGCAGAGCGAAGTCCCACTCGCACTGAATGACCAGTAAGTTTTTCATTGTTACTTCCAAAAACGTAACACTTGCTGCAGATTACCTAGCGAAAATCTCTGGTCCTAGAGCTTGCCTCAGCTGCCACTCAAGCCCTTTGCTCACATTCCCGTCTAAAAACCCTCGAAAGGCCCTCATGGTCAGTACCACTGATTTGGTAAGAAGGAATTGGAGCGTAGAACCTTATAACCGCCACTCTGTCACCACCGTTCGCGAAACTGCCGCCAACCTCCCGTGTAGAACTCTTGTTGTCCTCTGTCTGTCATCTGTCTACTCTGCAACAGCCGCGCGGCACTGCACGTGCGCAGGTCATTGAATCAGTCTTTCAAGATGAAGAGCTTCTTTACTTCACTATTCTTTTAGAGCCATATGAAGAGGGGATGTTGGTAGATCCACTCCATCCTCTAAAAAAAGGGCGGACTGCACCTATAAGGGCACCTGGCAATGCAGAAAACCTTCAGCATCCTACTGTAGATTGAAGTTGAGACAGCACTGAAGATGTGCTATAGATGGAGTTGTAGTCCGCCCTATTT